GAGTGAGTGAGTGAGAGTGAGAGAGAGAGAGAGAGAGAGAGAGAGAGAGAGAGATTTCATCCAATTTTTAAAAATAAATAATTTTAAGGGACAGTCAGAGGGTAGTTATGTATTGTTATACTGTACTGTACTTAACTTATGTAAGTCATATAAATTTATATTAACAATAATTTATATTATACGAAATTCTAGCTAATCAGCATCGATTTAAAATGGTTAAATTTGAATTAATACCATTTATATTAATTATTGAATAAAACAGTTACACCATGGATATCTACTTGTTCAATTGTTATCAGTATCTTTAAGTAAGTTTTGAGATTTACTAAAAATGAATACCATTTATAATACTTCATATTTTAAAGAGATATCATCTCTCTCTCTCTCTCTCTCTCTCTCTCTCTCTCTCTTCCTGAGCATAAAATGTGTGCAATTTCTTGGAATAATTGGTTTCTATGACAACAACAGTGCAGCAAAAGTCTCATCATTGATAGAATTGAATCAAATCCTGTGTTATATAAACATTGCTTTTAAAAAGAATATTCTTATGGAAAGAGGTTTCTATAAGAATCGCTTAAGTATTGAGACAATAGTGAATAGTAAGCGCGGAAACACATGCATAAAAATAGACTACCAGTGCCTTATTAGTGATGCAGACATCGCTGATGGCGTGCTAGTCCTATGTACATTGAATGACTATTGTATAAACATCCAGGGGCATCTAGAATTAAGCACCAAAAACTCGATAATTATAAACCACTAGAGATGTTGTATGGCAACAGTTATATAGTCTACGATAAATATTTAACCCAAAAATTGTAATTTGTTTTGTAAAACCAAATGTTAAAACATACTTGATTATAATGAATATTGAGAGAGAGAGAGAGAGAGAGAGAGAGAGAGAGAGAATTGTCTTTTAGATACAAGAGTTATAGTCACTTAAGTGTATGTCTTAAGTAGTGATGACAAGAGATCTGAGGGGATGACAGATACACACAAATATAGGTAATTATAAACATGGTGATTTGTAAATAAACAAGTTGATTTAGTATACCAAGAATTCTAATTCTGTAAAAATAATACTATGAAATTCTATATTTGACTTTCAAATTCAATTATTTGAATTTAGTAGGATTTAATCAATATCAGAATAAACTAGTAACGTATCCAAGGAAACTACACACAAATTCTCAGAATGTTCAGGATAAAATAACATTATTATGAAATCTATAAGCCCTTTATTAACTAGTTTTCAGGTTAGATTAACATTATTTACTTAACTACTGTATATAAATACTAGGACTGGTCAGTGATTATATAACATAAGCTCTCTGTTTGTATATAAATGTTTGAATTAATTTATTAAATATAAATTGACCTTTCATAAATGTGAAGAGATATTTACTACCAATAAATTGTATAATAAATAGAAATAACTGATTGTATTTTGGAAGAATATTCTGTTACCCTGTATATTTGTGTTATCCTGAATCTAGTGAGTCTTAACTCAAATAAATTCACAAAATTTAATTCATTTCCTTCATTACATCAATGAGTAAATCGTATTCCCATTTGAGGGCAAAACTAATTTGATTTTTTGTGCACCGATTTTGTTGCTATAAAAAAATAAAAACTTATTTTTTTCATTCATAACGAGGAAATGTATGACATTTTATAGTAATATAACAAACATATAAAAGTAGTTTTTAGAGATTGATTTTAATTATTTGTTATGCATTATAGTTATGGATATTTTTATAACAATAACATCTATTTTTATTATCAATGAAGTATTATACATGCTTTAAATATACGGCATTCACTCTATTATATGATACTTTTGATATGAATTTAAATTTTAAATTAAAAAATGTAAAAATATATTCATTTCACTTGAACTCACAATACTTTCATTTTTATACTGACAATTGAATATATTATATTTTTATGCGGAATATTCTGTATTAATCAAATTTAATACAGTATTTATATGTTTTCTATTATAATAAGGGGCATATTAAAATATAGATATATTTTTATCAAACTTGTCAGGTATAAGGGGTTTTTAAATATAAATAATTTTCTTTATTAGATTTTAAATGTATTTATATTATAATATTAAATAGTATTAAATATTATACTATTATTTTATGCTGCAAGATAAATAAAACATACCTATCATAAATTTGTAATTATTATTTCAATTCTATATATAACTGTTATAATCAATAAATAATTAGCAGCATATAAGTTATCACATGACCTTTATTAATGACATACAACTCATACTGTATGTTATGTGAATTCATCATAATTCATATGCAAATATAAATATGATTTCTTAAGAGATTACATTAAATGAGAATTTATGGACAGCACTGCAGAATTACAAAACAAAAATAAAAACTCGTGTTTATTCATATAAACATATGCTACCTACAAATGTCAAATGTATAAGCTATGGAGAAAATTAATGTAAACTATTTGTTAAACTTTTACACTTTTGAATAGAAGATTGAATACATAACTAGCAAATTGAAACAATATTTTTTTGATATTATTTAATTTATATGGAGTATCAAGTATGATATAAATATTTTTGTTTGTAAAGTAAATTTTAACATAATGTTTGTTTTTAAGTAATTCTTATTCAGTGAATTGAAAATGTTTTCATCAAAAAAAACTTTATGCAAACAATTTAATTATATTTTTCTGTTTTTGTTTTGTTAATGATTAGCCTCTCTCTCTCTCTCTCTCTCTCTCTCTCTCTTCTCTCTCTCAACCAAAACACAAAAATACAAAATATATGTTCCTTTCAATAGTAATTCTGTGGCAAACACTGAGCGTTAAGAATATTCTTTCACAGAATGCATAGAATTTTAATGAAAGACAATTAAATTAAATTGAGTTTTTAGTTGAGAATAATAGTGTAATAAACATAAGAGAGAGAGAGAGAGAGAGAGAGAGAGAGAGAGAGAGAATAGTGTTGTTTTGTAAAGAAATAAAATTGTGACATAAAATTCAGATTAAACTCAAATATTTGAGCTTAATTTCCATAAGTATTGTTGTTCACAGCAATGAAAATAATGTCTTATTTTCTAACGAGTTTATCTTATTATTACAAAAGTGGGTATAAAATGAAACTAAAATTATTTTCTCCTTAAATGCAAACAAATTATAATTTTAAAAGTTATCGAAATATAAAGAAAACAAATAAATAATCCATTTTAATAAACTTATACACTATTATGTAATACATAATCGCCTTGCACACAGTATATAATAAATCTTATATATGCAATGGATTATTTATAATTATTTTTAAGTAATTTTTTGCATACAGTAGTGGGATGGGATTATCCGTCAAATTGATAAGTACAGTACCTTTTAATAGCAACTTTGTTAAGCCATTGTTAACTTGAGCAAACAAATTAATACAAGATTGTTTGTTAATAATTAAAAAAATAATTAGTTGCCAGCAAATTTCCAGTCTTATTTAAAAATTATATTTTATTACTTCAAACACAAAGAAATGCTTCAAAAAAAATTTTCTAATTTTTCATCACTCATGTAAACCGATAAATACATGCACGAGAATAATGGTTAATATGTTTGCAAAAATCATTAGTCTTTTCTAACATTAAATTCTGTATTCGTGTTAATGAACTAAACGTTTCAAATGTCTTAAACCTTTGAACACAGAAATAAAAACGCTTTCCAAACGCTAATTTATAGCCAACATAAGTCTCTCTCTCTCTCTCTCTCTCTCTCTCTCTCTCTCTCTCTGATACGTAAAATAAATTTTATCAAATAATTTAAGTATAGCCGAGAGTAGGGAACTGATGTATATATAAATATATGTGTATCGGAAAAGTGTGTGGGCGCACATGGAGGTGATGCAACTCATTTGCCACCACCACAACTATCCCAAGTGATACACACACTCACAGACTATGACTATCCGGGTCTTTGAATCCTATAAGCCTTACATCGCTTTTCCCCATTGAATGCAATGCACTCTCGGATGTGTGGCTAACAAAACACACCGAAAAAGATTTGATGGGTTTTTCTCCGGCATTACATAATTCATACGAAATGCAAAGTTTTTTGGCCACAAATCGCATCAATTGATAGTTTAATGAATGCCATCATAATAGCAGTGATTTTTAATCCATAATTATAGACTAGTTTTATTGAACCCCGCGTATAATGACCATACAATTAGCGTATATATGGTACATATAGGGTGTACTTGTTTTTGTTATTGTTAGATAATGTTAATAACCTATTAATCTATGATTACATCAGAGCATTTTGTACACTGATGAAATACTTGTGAAATCATAATTTAATGTTTAAAATAAAAAATATTAATTTTAAATAGTAATAAATTAGATAATAAAATATATTATATAATCAGTTTATTAGCATTAATATGGTATGAAAACGTATAAAAATATTGTTTTTGTTTCTATTTTTAATTGAAATAATGTTTATTTAAAAATTTATTATATTAATGATGTTTGGATTTTTGTTGTTGAATATATTTTAATTGAAAATCTAGACATGACTTGATTATTTATTGCATACAAAATCCTCAGATAACATATTGTATATATAAATTTATATTTTAATTAAAACAAACTTTTATAAGACATATAACATATGGCATAACTAACATACTTATGCTGTTTAATTAGTTTACCATGTTGTCGGACAGGTATTTGTTTTGTATAGCATATCCCTATATGTCTTGAATGTTAATATTATTTAAATTAATATCAAAATTGAGATACAATTCGGAGTTTTAATTAATTAGCTGCAAATATATAGTATTAATAAATTCACAAAAAAACTTCATTTCATATATTAGCTATACTTTGCGATAAGACTCTTATCACTGAATTTTTGGGGAAAATAAATAATTTTTGTAATAATTTAAAATTAAATATATTCCTAACTTATATCTATATATCATATCCGTATTATTCGCATAAAAATTAATTATTTATATTTATTAATATAGAAATGGGGAATAATTTATCCTCCATTTTGATGGTCTTGTAGATGGGCTCCTCCTCCCACCGGTCCTCCTCTTCAATATACCGGGTTTTGTTGTAGTAGTCGATGGGCCCCGGGATGTGGATACTGAACACGTCGTCATGCATTTGGAGGAGTAATACAAATAATATGAAAATCGTGTTCATAATGGCGAAGGCGAAGACCATTTTATTTCTCAAATCCTTGAGATCGGCCGCAATCCTCGCCTGTTCTTTCGGGTTCTCGTCCAGAGGTAACAGATATTTGGGAATAAAATCCTTCCAAAACTGCAATTCATGGGGTGTTAACTGAACCAAAGGAAACTTCTTGAAGGCAGGGTCTCGACACCACCTGGGCTTTGAGGCCACACTCGACTCGGCTATGGATGGCGATCGACGTCCCGTGTCATCCACATATAGGGAGCGAACTTCACTCCCAGTCTCGTCCTCCTCGTCCTCGTCCGAAGTATGTCCGCCTCTGATGGTTGACAACACCTCAGCCCTGTCTGACAGTGCTGAGTATGAGCTTCTGACAGAGGCCTTATGAGGCCAAGGGGAAGCGGGAGGTAGAGGCCCAAGCTGTGAGCTAGACTATCATAACTGTGAAAGCGACTGAAATGAGTCAACAAGCCATTTTTGTGACAATTTGGCTGATTCTTCATCGGAACGACTGCTGGAACAGCACATACACGTGAATAGACCTGATTTGTTGCCAAACTTTGAGAAGTCCAGAAATCCCAACATATTCTTCTTGTTAGCCTTAGCGGCGGCCGCGTCTGCAGCGGCCTCTGCGGCCATCGCCGCCTCTTTGGCCGTCAGTTTGGACTTGACTTCTCTCGTACCCCACGACACGATATGCATGTTTGTCACTGAGTAGAGGGTCAGCAATAAATACATACTGGGGATGAGTAGCATATATAGTGGCAGAGGGAGAATACAGGAGAACTCCTGCGGATGTATAATAGCGGCCACAACAAAGCTGCCCATCAGTGACACGAAGAATAAGGACTGCGGAGTGATTATGCCTTTGGTGGCGATGTCTATAGCGCTGCCCACGAGTACGGCTAACATGAGAAGGGCGTAGAGTGTACTCAAAATCATGGCCAGGAATATGATGTGATCATTCTTCTTGACAACCATACACACGATTGAGAATAAAAGTACTGGCACTATATTACAGGCCAGGGATATGTTACTATCCAGACCCAACACCGTATTCATGGCTCCGACAACCATCAAGAATATAGTGCCCGGACTCAGGATAGTGCCCACCATTAACATGGCCTGGTATATGATGTATGGCTTCGAGATATCAGTATTGCACTCAACCGTACGCTTATAGTCGCCCATGTTTAGGTAATATAATCGGTAGCAACTCCCGCGGGTGGCTGCGGAGACACATATCTTAAGCGGTTTTGGAAGGCCACGCACTCACATCCTCAGTCTCCGCCGTGTCATAAGTTATGCGGAAGTTTAAACAGTATATTTAAGTGTGAATTAAAAGACAATATTTTGTTCAATACATACCATCCCTGTTGTAACATGAGAGTGCAGAGCCACCGGTCCTCTCCCTGATCGTACTGCACGTAATGCAAGGCTTCGGACGGTTTGGTCGTATACTTATTCATAACGCTGTCGTCCATCACAGCTCTGGCTCTGAAGAGAGAGAAACAGCCGGGACTGCAGAGAACACATCCGAACACGTGTTCCGTCGCCTTCTGCAGCCAATGGCCGACCGCGTACTCAAACTTCTGGTACCAGACCATAGGTCCGCCGCCAATCGGGTGAATGCGTCCGCAGGCGGCGCCCAACTTCTTGTTCTTCTTCATGAGGTCGACCACCAAATGCAAGGCATGCGGACGGAAGTTGATGTCCCCGTCCAGAGCCAACACAAACGTATTCATCGCAATCATCTCCTTTCTCCTTTCATCGATTTGTCTTTCGGCGATTCTGTGGCNTCTCATACCTGAGACCATCGCTTACGATGTCTGATAAGAATTTTATCCTTGAGGTGAGCGACGAGTTTGTTCTGTCCGGGGAGAACCCACTCTAACTTTCCTCCATAAGGTGTGGGCACAACGTTGGGTCTCTTGAGCATAATGTTGGTCTCGTGCACATAACTGGCCGCCTCGTCCATCGTCTCAATCAGCTGTTTGACGAATCGGTTGATGAGTCGGTCGTCTTCGTCATCACTCGGCCCCTGATCGAAGGCATCGTCGAAGAAGATATTGACTACCATTTCATCACAAGAAGTTCCATAAGATTAGTATACAAATTATCAAGTACAAATTATCAATCAATCGCAAGTGATATTACATTCAATCTCGTAGTAGTCTGTGAGGGCGGGATTCAGTTTGAAGAACTGGTGGGCCTGTCGTCGGGCGCATTGGTCGGCATCTAATCGCATGACGGCTTTGAGCATTTGAATCACCTCGTTCTTGTCCTCGTGCCACATCGTCGCACACACGAAGATCCTGACCGTCTCGTCCTCGTTGGACACGTAGGGCGCGGCCGGCATCGGCTCATTCACCGTCTCATACAAGTGGTTCATATTCTTGTCCGCCTCTTTGCCCAGCTTTTCCTCGCGAGTCGACTCAACATCTTTGACGGCTTCGTCCATAAAATTGATTCTTCGTCTGTTGAATGCCAGCGACTGGTCGACGATCACAGAGCTGTACATCGGGATTATGAATAGCTTTTCAGTGGAGGCCAGCCTTTCGCTGGTCGAGAACCATATGTGGATCGAGATCCACATCTGCGAGGCCAGTGATAGGACCCACATAACTGTGCTGATGTAGTTGTAATAGTCCTTCTCGTAGGCAAACGCGTCCACATCTCTGGTGTACCAAAAGATGTACTGAAATCCTTTGAAGAATTCGTGACAAACTTGGCACTTATCCTGAGCCGAGGCACTGACCACTGCCCACATGAATGAGACGGTCACCGGAACTGATAGGTTAACGGGAACGGCGAAACTGAAGCCCTGGATGCATATCTTGCACGAGAACTTGGCCACAGCATAGCACAGGTATGTGGCGCTAATCTGCACCAACAGAATCCAGACGGGAATGTATGGGTCGCTGACAGTCATCTCGTGTGATTCGCCCTCAATCTGCTTCTGGAACTCGAGGCGATTCTTGTCGCGAATAATTAAGATCTTTTCGTTGGAGAAACCTTCGCCAAACTTACTGAACAGACTGTTCACAGACTCTACAGACTGTCCATTGTTTACGTACTCAAACAAAATCATAAAACACAAGATGACAACCATCTTCCAGACCGTGACAATCAAATAAGTAAAATATCGCGATTTCGCCAAATCCTTCTTTATGTCGAGCAGCCATTTGTTGATCCCATTGTGGGACTGGGGGTCTATGAAGTTCTCCCACCACTGGAACGACACTAAAAACAGCGCCAGTGGTATATAGTAGTACTGATTGCTGTCGTCGTTGTGCGCGACCAATGGCCACAAGACAAAGCCCACCACTTGAAAGATAGTGGCCGTATAGGTGAGCAATAGGTTTAGTTTGCTGTGCCGGTCGTGATTGGATAGTATGAGTAGTAATCCGGGTATAAAACACACACAGTTTGTAATCATTGCGCCTTTAATGGTATCAACCGTGGGAAGTATGGAGAAAATCAGTAGTGAAATACCGATTCCGTTCAGTGTTTCGGTTGTAAAGACCTGTCAATTAAAGGGCAATTAGTTTTCATGCAATTCAATCTGTGCTATAGTTGTACACACCGTAAGAAATGTACGTAAAGTAGGAATTTGGTAAGTCTTGAAGTAGCATATCCTGGCCGCCCGACCCCACGCGAACAGTTCCGGTGTAATGGTGGCGAAGTATAGCACCCAAAGCCACCCGATCCTCGCGGCGTCGTCGCTGCCATAGACGGCCTCATATCTCTTGTCCCGATCGATGGGTGGGTTGATGTCATAGCCATGGATGTACTCATTACATATGGGAATCGTTCGGTTCAGTTGTGTCATTGATATCATCAACAGTATCAGCGATTTAGAGAGGACTGCAAATCCTAGTGTGACTACGAATGTGAAGAAATAGGCGAATATTTTAAGACATTTGATGAACACCTCGACCCACGCGCCGTCGAGGGTCTCGTCGTCATCAGGAGGTGGAAGCG